TCATCAGTAGTACAGTGGTAAACATTGAGTAAGGTCATGTTGGGTATTGGAGGCGATAACCCTCCTATAAACTAGTAATTAGTCATATTTGCCTTACGATATTGTTCAAGAAAATGATGTTGTTCTCTTTGGTATTTACTCTTCCAATTTCTTCTCACCTGAGACTACAATGACTGGAAGAAACCACCATTGTAGGTTATTAGAGGTAATTTTACTCCCACAATAGGGTTCAAGTAAAGTATATACTGTCCGAGTGTTGGACTAGGCCAATATCATAACCCATCTTTGTATTGAATGCTTGAATCACAACAAACACTCGATGAAAACTTTCTCTTCAACACGACATATACAGACGATGAAGAGACCAATTTCTAGTTCAAAAGACCAATGAATTGATTTCTCAAAGTAGAAGAAACTTCCGAGTAATGCCAAACATGATACTGAATCATTAACAGTCATGGTGAATAGCACAGCATGAAGACTAACAGTTGAAGTGGCTAAGAGAAAATGCAAGAAACACTCCAGCACAACTACCAACGTGTTTGACGAGATGTGAAGTGGTGTTCCACCTCAACCCTCCTCGCCACCATTCATTTCAATATCTTACATTAGGGATGGATACCTCCGTGACATTCTTAGTAATTGAAGTAAGACACAGGAAAACGAGTATGAACAGCAAATAATAGGTAACAACTAGTGTAACAGCTGAATTCACTTCCATGCATCAAAACTGAGAGAAGTGAGATTTAGTTACAAATCAATTTCTATTGCTACACCAGTTTCACTGCATATTCCCCTTCCAATTGTCTCCTACGCCGACAGCTCACCATAAACTCTCACTCTCTAGACCTTAACAAGATGGACTGGTGTATTTGTATTGGACGAAGTTGAAAGGAACCACAATGAATTTGTCACTCCGGCACAACCTAACCAGTTGATATAATTCTATTACCTTCCTTACTTAGTTGACAGCAGAGGTCGATAGATGCCAATGCCCAAGCGCTTACCATTTAAGGCTTCATATCATTGGCTTTCTTTTCGCAAAACTATTTGCGATACGATAAACCATAACTGGCACGTTTTCTTTTATAGAAATGAAAACCTTCTGCTTCGTCCAAAAGTGCAAATCCACAGACGTATGGTCATTAATAGTTGGCTTAGATTGAAATGTACTAGTCAAGGGAATATATATTTCGAATCCAAAAGTTGTTACCAATTCATCATATTAATAAATTTACTGACTTGATGATTGAAGGACTCTGCAATTTTTGTCTTTTAGGCAAGTTTCGGTTTTCAAGTATTTCTTGGAAAACGTTTGTCATTTGGTAAACTGATAGCCCTGTTGTAATACCAACTACGAATCCAGCGATATGCTGACTCCAAACGGGTTTGAAAAGTTGGTCGAAATGGTAGAATATGCCGGCCACACCAAATATAGCAGTACACAACGTTAAAATTCTTGAATACAAGTGATATCATTCAGTGTGCTTAATGATGCAGAGGGTTTGCAGAATTGTTGCAATTAGAGTAAAAAACGTAGCTATAACCAGAAGTGCCAGAGTAGTGGACATAAAGAGATGGAATCCTTCAAGTCATAAATTGGGGTAAATCCTCCCACATATCTATCCTTCAGAAGAGATTGCGACCAGTTGGAGGACAAAAGCAAAATAGACGACCAGGGCTTCTCCATAATACGGCACCATTTTCCAACCCAAATTAACGTGTTTCAGTTCAAATAACACGAACTTTGTGCCATAGTGGAGAATATTGTCTGACAAGCTATTCCGATTGTTCAACGGAGTTGGTGCCGATAACAAACCTACTGGGATTTAATATGACACAAGGGGCACTCAAACCTTATAATTACGTCTCCTAATAAATTCAAAATGACAAGTATTTCTAAATACGATATGTCCTAGCCCCTCGATGATGACTCATGACCCATGCTTAGACATTAGCGCTGAAATTGAAAATTATCAATTGTTTGGTAAAAAACAGTCATCATTGAGCCATAGTTTCAATAAGGAATTACCAGGGGGCACCCGGACTTGAACCAGGGACCTCTCGATCTGCAGTCGAATGCTCTACCACTGAGCTATACCCCCACACACGTTGATTCCTCCATCTTAATCACGCTTCCTTTAACTGCGCATTTCAACACACAGACACCTAACCATCTGCTTTTCATAACCTACTGAATCCTCATCAGTAGTAAATTGGTATTTATTGAGTCCTCATTTCATTATCAAATTTCCTATTTCTAATAAGTCTGAGATTGATATCCATGACCAATTTCCTCTATTTGTATCGTAAATGTAACCTTTTGAGTTAATATAGTCAATAATTGAACCGGCTGATCTCAAAAATTTGAACTTTGTGTTTTCGGAAATTCCCCATCATTATTTTTTAATAGCCTATTAGAGAATTCTCGACATTGATAACGCAATCATAAGCAAACATTAAATGCTTATCAGAAGTAAAATTATGTCAAAATGGTATGTTTAATTGAAGATGACAAAAGAAGACATAGAAGATACAAAG